TTAGAACATTTTGCTTATTTCCTCTGCCTCTGTCAGGCTGCCTTCTGGCTATCTTACTAATCCTCCCCCATCCCCAGTATAACATACTATTATTTGCTGGTAAGCTCCTGGAAGCTGGGAACTGTTATTACTCAGGATTTTGAATCTCCAGCATTTAGCACCATACTTTTAACATATTATTGAATTAGATGTGCTTAGTGAACTGAATTTTTAAAGCACTAGTGCCTGACAGTGCGAACCCAGGTTTTCAGTGAGGTAAGGTGAGATACTCCCCCCCCCACCTCAAGCAGTGTCCTGCAGGCTACCTCACGCGTAGTAGGCGTGATTACATTTTTACTGGATTAACGTGGGTGTGCCTTTAAATTTCAGGTCCTTTTGGGTCAAAGCTTTGAGACCTGAGGAGGGACTGGAAAGGAAAAGACTGAAAAATTCAGTATATGCAAATGTGTTCCCATTACTGCATTTTAAAGGCAAGTTTGCCTTATATGACATCAGTGTGAAGTGAAGCTGCTGATTTTGATAAGATGCCAGGTCGAGAAAGTAGAAAAAACAAATGCTACTTTAAAACAGCAGAAGGACCAACATTCCCTGAAATGCATGTGTATTTTGATGTTAAGACAGGGATCTTTTACTCCTTTCCAAATTAATCAGGCCTAACTAAAACTTCTCAATTCACAGAAGCGCCTGTGAGTTTTATCACTGTGATTAGACATAGTAAAAATAAAGTAGGAATTACAAAGTGGGGCTGTAAATACAGTCTTAATGTAATCAGTACCTTTCACTATTTAATATGTTTATGTAATTAGTCAACAAGCATTAAGCTCCTCCTATATGCCAGGCACTGTGCCTAAACATTAGGAAGTGTGCTATACTTTGTACACTCATGTATAACTGACAGTTGGGTTTGTTTCTATAAAATGTTGGACCATTCTGGAGAATGGAACTCCTTATAACATTGCTAGGGGAAAAATCAGGTATTTTTGGACTAGGTCATTGCCAAGGTCCAGTGATAACCTTGTATTAACCTGTGAGACTTCCTCTCATTTTGCAAATTATATAGTACCTTTTCCAGGAATGAACCTGTAGTAAGTGTGGGGACTGCTTGTAGTATTCAACATTTTTATATTTGCATTTTCTTAACCATTACATTTCCTCATTGCCCTGAGTATCTGATAGGAAGATGAATAGTAAATACCTAGTTTGGATTGTTATAGTAATTCTGTTGTTGGGAGCCTAATTTCAGAAACTTTATAATTACTCATCACTTTAGCAAAGAAGGAAATATGCAGATACTTTTCAGCTGTTCAGTGATGCAGACAAATGGGTAAGCTAGCATGTTTGTAAAATATTCATGGAGACACACAGATCACAGTCAGAGAAAGGGCTTAGGAAGTTGGATTGACTATGTCTGTGTAAAAGGGCAGTCTCTGTCCAAAGGAGCAGAATATTTTTTTTCAGCAAAGAAAATTGAAGCAAATTAGTGGTGTAGGGAGGTGGTGTGAGGCAGCTTATATAATACTACCCTGAATTAGATTTGGATTCTAGTCTTTTTTTTTTTTGCCATTAACTAGTTCTACACTTAAATTGTTAATTTCGACCTCTTACCTCATTGGACCCATGATTCCTTACCGATAAAATGAAGAGTTTGAGCTAAATGTAACAGGGAAGTCCCTTCCATTTCTAAAGTCTATGATTCTAGTCTGTGGTTATAAGAACTATGACAAAGCAGCAAAGAGGGGGCTGTCTTGGAGAGAAACTTCCTTTGTTGTATTAAAGAAATATTTCATTGATGCTATTTGTGGTTTATTTTTATGTTGATATCATGCCCAACAAATACCTCCCCTCTCGTTAGTCCAGTTAAGGAAACAAAAGGACATTTGCCATGTCCAAACACATGCCTTATCACATGTGTGTTCAGACGTTTTCAGTATGCCTGCCTCTTTGCGATCCCATTTTGAGTTTTTCTTGGCAAAGATAGCAGAGCAGTTTGTCATTTCCTTCTTCAGCTCATTTTACAGGTGAGGAAACTGAGGTAAACAGGGTTAAATGACTTGCCTAGTGTTACACAGCTAGTACATATCTGAGACTGGATTTGAACTCACGTCTTCCTGACTCTAGGCCTGGCACTTGACCCACTGAGCAAGTAGTCTTGTTATTTCTGGCACCTTGATACCAAAAGAAGAGTATGATTTGTCGTCAATCCAGTTCAATTTAATAAGCGTTTATTAAATGCCTATTGTGTACTTGGTTTATATTGGGGATGTAAAGACAAAAAAAGGAAGTCTCATCCCTCTGGGAGCGATAGCAGCATCCTGGGTTGGATTGTAAGCTCCTTGAGGGCAGAGAAGTCTGGTCACTTTTTGTTTCCCCAGAGTTTAGCACAGTGCCTGGAGCACTTAAATATTCATTGGTTGATTAATGCAAACTGTGTATAAAATGAATACATATCTGGAGATAGGGAAGGGGAAGGTCATTATTTCTCTATTCAGGATTGCTCATTGTTGCCTTAATTTGCATATTACTTTTGGAGGTGTTTTCCTTTGTATTATTGTGGTTGTGTAGAATACTTTCTTGGTGGGTTGTGTGTGTGTGTGTGTTTGGTTTGTTCTGAATCCTCCCATAAAGGTCTTCCCAAATTTTGAAGAATTCTCCATTTCTTGTGTCTGATGGTGAAAAAACACCCATTCAGACTATGTTAGCTTGGATAATGACAGAAATATTCGTTAAGAGCTCTACATCTGTTGATCTCACCCCAGGAATGAAGGAAAATTAAGGAGTGGCTTGCATGGAACCATATTACCCAAACAAAAAGATACCAACCAATGCATGGAACTGTGCAGGGAAAATCAATGCCTTTCTGAATCAAATCTGCTCAGTGTGACTTAGAGAAAAGTGAGCGTTCTCGGAACAGTCTTACGGTCTGCAGACATACAGACGGGCATATTCCACTCTAGTGGAAATGTTTGTCCGAAGAGAAGGGAAAGAGGCACATTTAAAAAGGAATGCCTGTTTCCTACTGTTAAGCATGGTGGAAGCAGCGTCCTGGTGTGCGTGGTGTCTCTCTTCTGAAGGTGTCGGTATCTTGGGATAGTTACGAGAGAAGTTCTGGCATCAGAATGATCTCAACGGGGAGGAAGCTTGGGAGAGGTTATTTTTTCAACTGGCCTATCCAACACACACATCAAAATGTATACAAGCTTTATCAAAGGAAAAAAGAATTAGGTATTGTCTACGGTAGCTTGAATTTAAGGGGGAAACTTCAGCCCTCCCTGAGGACAATTGAAGCTGTGTGTTGTGCTACTTGGAAAGATCCTCTGTCTTCTGTTTTGAAGTGTTTGCTTTAGATGTTTTTACTTTTTCCTTGGCCCTGCCCTTTCTAAGCAGACACCCTTTCCCCTAATCAGATAATAGAAATGTTAAAGGTGAAATATCTGTTTCCTTGGCTGCTACCAGATGCCCCATGGATAAGAAATGGTATATGGTTGACCGTTTTATTGCTGCTTTAGCAAAAAGCATCTGTTGTGAAAGTAAGCCTTTCATCCAGATATAGGAACATCCTCAAAGTTAGACCTTTAATGGGTGCCGGGTACCACATGATAGGGATATTTTTGTTAATTGAAGGGCTGCTTTCTTTTAATATTGACGTACTGTCCACAGGCATTGAATACCAAAAGGCACAGAATTCGGTCCTGATCAGAGACCCGTTCATCTCAATAATAGACTCTTAATGTCCTTTTTAGCAAGGGATAGGAGGACAGAACACAATGTGCCAGATTCTGATTTTCTGATTTCTGTACCCCCTCCCCTGAACCATCTCCATATGCAAAAATATTCATAGGATTTCAAAGGATGGGATAGAAAAGACTGCCTGGTTAGATGCACTGGCCTTGAAACTTAATCAGCATATGATCCCCAGGTAAGGGATTTCTTTTCTTAAGATTATGTAGCTTTGCCCCTTGTTAAAATTCTGGAGAAGACACATTAGGGTATTCTTTTATGCATATCCTTGAGTATAATGTGTGTGTGTGTGTGTTTATGAATTGGAGTACACATGCATATTCCAACACCACGGCTAGATCCCTGATCTCATTGACTTGGGTACTCATTTGACCGACTTCCCATTACAACTTCAAAAAACAAAGAAAAATCTGTGTTTATTTGTATTTTTACTTGGACCACACCTGATTTTATTGAATTAGAGAACTCCCCTGCCTGTGTAGATTAATACTTATAGTCTTAGAGAGTTGTCTGGGTAACTGAGCGGTTGAATGATTTACTCAAAATCCCAACAGCCAGATTGTGTCACAAGCAGTACTTAAACTCAGGTCTTTCTGACTTCTGGCTTGCTCATTATTTCATGATTCTCCTCCCCGCTCCCTTGCCATGCTACCTTTCCTGTACGTGGTGTGTTTGTGTCATCTGCAGATCTGACAAGCATGCAGTCTATGCCTTTATCCACGTCACAGACAAAAATGTTAGTTCAGGCCAAGGAGAGATCCCTAGGGTGCTCCATAAGAGAACTCCTTCCAGGTTGATATTGCAACCAGGGCCACTGATTGTATGTACCATTATCTGACCCTTTCTCTTTACCTTTGTCAAATGCTTTGGTGAGATCTAGATTAAACTTTCTATTGTTGTTGTTCAATAGCTAGTCTGACTCTTTGTGACTCCATGGACCCTAGCACTCCAATTCTATCCATGGGGTTTTCTTGGCAAAGATGCAGGAGTGGTTTGCTATTTCCTTTTCCAGTGGATTAAGGGAAAACAGAGATTAAGTGACATGCCCAGGGTCACACAGCTAGTAAGTGTCTGAGGCTGAATTTGGATTCCAGTCCTGCTGACTCCAGGGCCAGTGCTCTATGCACCACACCACCTAGTTGCCTCTAAAGTTTTTATAGCACTCCCTTGATCTACCAGTGTAGTAATTCTGCCAAAAAGGGAAATGAGATATTATTGATGAAATTATGCTAACTCTTTCTGATCATTGCTTCCTTTTCTAGGTGTTCACTCCTTTAGAATTTTGCTCTGGATTAAAGGTAAGGCCACTCATCTTCCAAGAGATCCATTCTCTGCGCTTTTTGAAAATATAGATAATATTTCCCTCTGTTTTCCACAACTGTTTAGAAGTTATCTCACAGTAGCAGTAACTCAGCAATCACATCTGTTATGGTATACCCAAATATTTAGTTCTCCGGCTCCTGGTAGTTTGGGCTCGTCTAGGTAAGGTAGGTTCCCTTCCTACTGTTGAAGAGTCAGACACAATTGAAACAGCGAAAGTACCTACCTGGTAAGAGTTGTTATAAGGCTCAAATGAAATGTATGGAAACTAGAAGAGGAGGTCTTTGGAATCTCGATTCACTGCTCCCTACATTGTGCCATGCAGTGTTTGGGGGTCGCATGAGATCTGGGCTCCTTAGAGCATTTATCAGTTTGGACAGATTTTCTGTCACTCCCTTTCTTAGGTTAGCTATTTAATAAGGGCATTTCATTTAGTCTTCAGTTTGGTGAAGTCTTTTTCTCCTTATGAAATCTTAAGATTGGAGCTTTTTCTGCAGAATGCAGAAGCCTTGTCTGCTTTGTAGACACATTGATGCAGGTGTACTTAAAAAAAAAAGCTACTTTGATGAATATGGTGTCCCCCATGTCCCTCATCTCCCTCTCCCCCCCCCCTTAGAGAATGTAGGCTTTTTTCAAAAATATCTTTTTCAGTTTCAAAGTTAACTATTGTTGTGATAAGGTGGCCTTGGGATTTCTTCCAGGACAGATCAAAGGAAATTGGCACAGGGTTGAATAATCATTGTATTCATAAATGTTTATTTGATTTAGAGCTCCTGTAATGAAATCAAGACTGTGTCGGCACATGTGGACATTTAAATGATTTTTGATCTGTATTTAGCAGTGACACAGTTTCTTTCTTGAGGCAACTGTGGTATTGTGAATCTATGTTTTCTCATGAGCCTCAGAACAGCCCTATGGAGTACTATAATTATTCTTATCCCATTTTACAGATGAAAAAACTGAAGTTGAGAGGTTAATTGACTTGCTCATGGTGGTCACCAATAGCTAAGAGGAAAGATTTGAATCTAGCTCCTCCTAGGGCCAGTGCCAGTTTTGTTTATTTTTTTTATAAGCTTCGCCAAACTACCTGCCTCTGCCTTAACATCTGAGGCTTGATTTCTTCAACAGGTTGTTAGGGTCAAATGAGATCATGTGCGTACAGTGCTTTGTACATCGTAAAGCATGGTAGAGCTGTGAACTGTTCTCAGCCTTGTACAATGACTTGTCGTATGCTTGATGTTGGAATGACAGGTGACTTTCATTTGTTCCTTTGGCTCAGGTGTGACACATTGATCTTGAAACCTGGTTTAAAGAGGAAGGTAATTTAACATTATTACATATGTCCATTCTCCAGGATGATGATTTAGTTCAGAATTAAGTAAAATCTCTATCACACAATTGAGTCTTCTAGACCAAGAAAAACAAAGCATAGGTATAAAGTAGGACAGGACAGCCATCTGAATGGAGGATGTCCTCAGAGTCTCCTTTGTATGAGATAAGATAACTGGATGGGGACTTTAGTGGGTACATGGCTGACCTTGGCAACTAGAAGGTTCATGTCCTGTCTCTGCAACGTAAGCTTTGTGACCACGGGCAGGTCATTGTTCCAGACAACTCTCAATACTGGGAATTACAGAGCAGTTGCTGATGGATTTCTATCCACATCAAGAATTCCCTGGACTGATGAAATCACAGGTTTAAATCTTCACAGGAGCTCCCAAATGTCCACCTCCCACCCCCTCCAGCCAGAGAGAGGGAAGGGCCCCAGGGACAGTGGGTGCTGAGGAGGTATGCCTTTCCAAGTTGATTTAATCAGATGAATTTCTGAAGATGATGAGTCCTAGAAAGTAACCCAATGGGAAATGATTAGGAGAAATCCCTTTGCTGTAATTTGAAAAAGTTTTATTGATCTTTTTATTGTATCACTGTTACATTCCAGTAATTACTCCCTAACAACCCCCTCCCCTCATCCCCATAAAATCTTCCCTTGTAACAAGTTCATTTAAGCAAAACAAATCATCGTGTTGACCATTTCTGAAAATGTACCTCTCTGGCAAGAGAAGGTGGGCATGCTCTGCCTCTGAAGGCAACTTTGGTCACTGCTTTGATCAAAGGTGTCCTTCAATGACATTTACATAAACTTACTGTGGCCATGGTATAGAAGTTGTTCTGGTTTTGCTTGATTTGCTCTACATCTTTTCACACAAATCTAAGTTTCTCTGATTTTTTTTCATTCCTCTTTTGTAAGTGCATGGTAATGTTCTGTCATATTCTCATACTACAAGTTGATCCCCAATTGATGGGCATCCACTTTCCTCCCAGTTCTCTTTTCATGAACCATACCTCCCAACCAAACTGGTTGCTATTCTCCCAACTGCCTCTCAATTTCCTTCCTTTCTGTCTTTGCTTAGGCGCATCCCTTTTGCCTGAAATGCTTTCTCCAATCTCATGACTGGAAATTCCACTGTCTGTTAACCTTAGCTCAAGTGAATTTTGTCCATGAAATCTTTCTTGAAGAGAAACATGTTTTTCTGAGCTTCCCCAGATCTATGTGACACCTTATTGTGTTATATAGAGCTATGTTCATATTGGTAGTTAATAACATGGACAATCAAGTGGGGGAAACCTTAGTTTCTCCTCCCTACTAGGTTATCAGTTTCTTACAGTAAAAACTTTTATTTATGCACAGTGCCTTGTAGATGCAACTATTTATTGAATGAATGTCTGTCTTGGACTCTGTCATTAATACTGAGTCTTTTCTCTGTACCACTCCTCTTCTGTCTGGGTAATGTGCTGAACCGGTTATCCTAGGTTTGTGTTTCTTAAAGAACTTGACAATGTTGAGAATATTTCTTCTCCCTGTTAGCGGCTGTCATCAAGAAGCTAACAAGTAGTCCATTTGGAGAGACTTCAATAGTAATGGTGACATTGGCCATTATGCTACCTGCCATCTTTATAGATGACATTACAATTTGACCTTTGTTTTGTAAATTTCTTTTCTTTGCAGAGATATTTATGCTTCAAGGCCAATAGAGAAGAATAAAAGAAAAGTAGGCAGAAGTGTAAGTTAAAAGGCAGGAAATAAGACTAGGGACAACAGAAAAAAAAACAGACCTTGAAATTATTCTTTAATCATTTGTTTCTAAAGACGTAAAATGTCACATGGAAAACAAACATTTCCACTCAATGTATACACAATTTAGTAAAATAAATAATATAGCTTTGTAGACTAGTGGGTCCTTGGGTTGAGGAAGAAAGCAACTTTCTGTGTCTAGCATTCTTTAACCTCAGTTCAGAATGTAGGAAGTCAGGAAGGGGGCCTGTAGGTAAAATCAAAACCTTTCATTTTCAGAAACCAAAATAAATTCTTATGTTCAAGCTGTACCCTGAAATCTTCCAGTTTAGCAGATTAATAATGGTAAAGATTAGGATTAATAGTGTTAAAGATAACAATGTATAGTTACAAGTTAGTGTTTAAAATGCAATTGTTTATTTGTTCTTTCAAGCATTATCACTGCTTGTAAAATGAGGATGATGAAACTGGGCTTTGAAGAGGTTATCTGACTTGTCTAAAGCCATATACCCAAGTTTGTAGGAGATCTGGGACTTGAACCCTTGATTGTGACCCAAGGAACTGGGTAAAACATATTAAATTCTGGTTTAGTTTCATGGTGGTTGTAGGTCTCTTTCCTTTTTCCTTAGCCTCTGCCTCCATTTCCTCTTAAGTAGAAAAGGCTCACAATTCTATCCTTTTAAAAGAATTGCTAGGGAGTTATTGAGGTTTGAATTGGGTCTTAGCTAAATTTTGTCTCTCCCAAAATGCTCTGCAAACATTAAATATTTACTTAATATTTGTTGAATGAATAAATTGAGGGACAAATTTTGAAGGAGCTCTTAAACTTATAACTTTATCAGTATTCTTTATTGTATTTCTATTAGAAATAATGAGGCTAGGTTTCCATGTGGAATAAATTGGTAAATTTCCAAAATGATGTGCAACAGTGCAGATGTTTTCTGAGAATCAGATAATTCAATCAATTAGTCAAACAGTAAGCATTTCTTAAGTGTTTACCATATGCCAGATGCTAAGTTTAGGTGCTTGTTCCTTGATTCTCTAATTAAATGCTTAATGATAAGGGTTTTTTTTTTTTTGGGAAAGTAATAAAGGTGTTTTGACAGGATACAAGTTTGGACCTTTTTATCCTGGGGACTTTTTGTGGGTAGGGTGTGGTTTACTTAGTAAAGATAGGTGGATTGTTTCTGGAGAAAAGAGCCCAGTAGCTAGAATTGTAAGAAAAAGTCAGGAAGACAAGATACAAGACAGCTGTCATCAAACTCTAGTCTTTTGTATTTGGGAAGGGGAATTTATATTTTTTGATTTTTTTTTTACAAGCACACGGTTGATCGGTTAGCATTTATGACTGCTTGGCCCACAGCATGGGACCACACATTTCACTTTAGGAAATGCTTGTCAGAATTCTCCTGAAACTATACTGGTTGAGGATTAGGAAATGTAGTGTTATATAAGCAGAGGTGTCAAACCAGCAGCTGTAGAATATGGTCACCAATCTAGCCCAACCAGATTAAAATGTAATTGGGGAATATTTTAACAAAATAAATAAAAGTCCAGTGGTTACATAGATAATGTTAACATGTGATTCTCTAAGTCAATAGGTGGCCTAGAGTGATCCTTACCTATGGTTTGTGGCCCTCATTTCCATTGGTGCAAGGCATTAAGCAAAAATAATACGTTTGGAAGAAACCATGAGGGAGCTAGGAGACTTATGGTGTTAGCTGCCCGAACTCTTTTCAGGTCAGCTGATCTCAAAGAATCTTTTCAACTTTATGTTCTAGTACTTACCCATATCAACCTTTTCTGACTAGGCCAGTTTCCTCAGAACCTAGAAGGCAGTAAACTAGATTGGAGCCCAGAGGTAGAAACAGATAAGACCAATACAACCCATGAAGTTCTAAGTTC